TTCAACACTCAATGGCTTCTCTAGCCCAAAGTTCCAAAGTCCTTCTTCAATCTTCACAAAAACAGCATGGCCAGGTCTGTCACAGCAACACCTGACCCTATGACCATGGGACCAATTTCTGTCTTAGCTAGAGTTCCTGTTGCTCTGATAAAGCACCATGACTAAAGGGACCTTGTGGAGGAGAGGATGTACTTGGCTCTTGACTTCTTTATCACACTGGATCATTGAAGGAAGTCAGGTCAGGAACTTGACCAGGCTAGGGACCTTGATGCAGGTTTCAGGCCACGAAGGTGTGCTGCTTGCTGGCTTATTCCCTGTGCTTTGCTCAGCCTGCTTTCTCCTAGAACACAGGACCACCAGCCCAGGGTTGGTACCACCCACAATGGACTGGGCTCTCCCACATCAATCGATAACTAAGAAAATGCCCTTCAGGCTTGCTTCCCATCTGATGACGGCATTTCCTCAATTGAGGTTTTCTCCACAGAGATGACTCAAGCTTGTTTCCAGTTCACAGAAAAGTATCCAGCACAGAGGTGCGGATTTTCTGAAGGTGATGTGTCCGTCCCTGCAGGCAAGGCTTGAGGTTTCAAAAGACTCGCGCCTTTCCCAGTGTGCTCCCTGCTTCCTGCTTCTCCTCTGAGATGGGAGCTCAGCTGTCCTTCTGCCATGACTTTGCTCCACCACCAGGGCATCTAACCCTCTGGAACCTTAAGCCAGATTTCACTCTGTTTTCACTAGTCTTATCACACTAATAGACAGGTCACTGATCCATGCCCTTAAGGGACTCAAAGAGACTCTCAGTTTGGATGCAAGAATGTCCTCCTTAGAGATGGGGTGGGGTCTGGATCTGAGGTGGGAGCCCAGGAGAAGGGATGTCTGAGCTTCTATGGATTCAGGCAGGAAGAGGACGCATTCAGGCCAAATTGAGGTCAATGAAAAATGAAGAAAGAAAGAGACGCCCAAACACAGGAAGGAACCAATTTCTCTGGCTGGCCTAGAGGCTCAACCTCCCACTCAATATACCCTTCCCTGACCCAACTAAGATGAGACTGAATGATGCAAAATATCCCCGAAGCCTAACTTTAACTCTCTATCACCCCTCTCCCTCTCCCTCTCCTGGCATGGGATTTTCTCCTCTTTTCCTCTTTGCCCAGTCCCCTTAGAGAACCTGGGTGACCTAGGATCAGTTTTCCGGGCAAAGAGGTGTGCTAGTTTGCATGTAATTGGCCCCCATAACCTCATAGGGAGTGGTACTTTTAGGAGGTGTGGCTTTGTTGGAGGAAGTGTGTTCACTGTGGGGGTGGGCTTTGAGGCTTCCTATGCTGAGGATACCTCCTGGTGTCTCATCAGACTTCCTGTTGCCTGCAAGATGGAGGAGTCTCAGCTATTCCTCCAGCACCCTGTCTGCCCACACTCCGCTGTGTTCCTTGCTGTGATGATACTGGACCAAACCTCTGAAACTGTAAGCAAGCCACCCCAATTAAATGTGTTCTCTATGAGACTTGCTGTGGTCATGGTGTCTCTTCACAACAATCAAAACCCTCACCAAGACAGGAGGAAAACCCCACAGGTTCCCAGGCAGCTGCTTTTCTAACTGGGTCAGAGGGTCACACTGAGCTATGGAGGCTTTAAAATTGGCTTAACTCTTTTAACAAGTTTGTTTCTAAGGGACTTAGATTCCAGCCAACGTGGAGGGCACAGATCTGTCTGGTCACAGTGTACGCACGTCATGCTTGACTGAGACAACAAGGTGCCAAGATACTGATCTCCTTCACTTTCTCCATTTGCTCCTAGAGCAACAGCCCCAGCTGTGGGCTCTGGGCATTCGTGCCTGTCCCTTCATGTTCTTTTCCGGTAACAGGCTGTGCCTAGGAGATGAAGCCAGGTCAGAAGAAAAGCCAAATGGCATTTTGTGGCACTGACAGTTCAAATTTGTGTAACAGGACATATGGAGTCACCTTTGTTGAATTGAGAACATGAAGTTACTTCCTTCTTCTTGGCTTTCTTATGCTGCTCCACATGACTAGGCTTACCCCGGACCTAGTACCATCTCCTCCTATATCCATGCTGAGGAAAGGGAATGACTGTCCACATTTATTCTGTCAGGTGTGTGAAACCCACAGGGACATGTGTCCTCATGGGGAAAATAGGCTTGTTTTATCATTGGGTGAGCTCACCATTGTAGTGGGTAGGTGTTCCAGCTTTGACCTGGGGCCGGCTCTCTTGGTTCCTGGACCCTGGACGCTGGAGGGAGACTGAGCAGAGTTCTCCAGAGAACACTGCTGGACAGCCCTTCACCTTTCCCAGACCCTGTTACCTATCCCTTCACTTGTAACTTACCCCACAAAATAAACCTCCCTTTTAACTACGTGGAGTTGCCTTAATAATTCTACCCATACACCATGATCAAAAATGACCGTGAAGTTTCAACATTGTGGTTGGAGATCTTACTGAGATGGAGGCAACTATGTAACTTGGCTGGATCTTGGTTGGCCATGACATCACGGTGGAGACAGCCACATGCCATGGTACCAGATCTGTTAGTGATATCATGATGATAGCTAAGGTCATGTGACTCCACTGCCATCTGGATTAATGCAACCACATGGCATGAACCAAAATGGTGGCACACATAAAACTTCCCAGTAAGGCCGGGCGGTGGTGGCGCACGCCTTTAATCCCAGCACTCGGGAGGCAGAGCCAGGAGGATCTCTGTGAGTTCGAGGCCAGCCTGGTCTCCAAAGCAAGATCCAGGAAAGGCGCAAAGCTACACAGAGAAACCCTGTCTCGAAAAACC